AGAGTTTTACAGTGCTGTCCAAAGTGGAGTCAGGGGAATGAAGTGCTGGATCGGCTACCTCACCTCAAGCACTACTGGCTTGAACCAGCTAAAGCAGAAGATGGGGTGCTGTAGGTTTTTTCCTTATTTACTGGCAGTCTGTTTAAAGAACCCAAAAATATGGTATTCCCACACATTAGTCAAAATGGAAATTTTCTGTTTCTGCTCAGGGCTAGGCCAACTTGGAGAATTGGACTAACTTTGGACCTAATAGAACCAAATCCCCTTGTGCCCCACTACTTGGCCTTACACAACTCCCTGCTGGTGGAAACTCTGCTCACAGTAGCACTCCACACGGAGCTCCCCATGGGGACCTCTGCAATGGCAGAATTCCTCACCTTTGGCAGAGGAGTACCCTAACCCAACCCTTCCCTGCCACAGGATTATTCTGCGAACATTGGCCAATGCAGAATACAGTCTAATACCAAGTCTCAATTTTTTGCCTTATTTCTCTCTCTGCTGCCCAATTCCTAAAGTGCTTTTTGATTGTTTCCTAGATAAAGGGCATGAAAGACCGCCTGGAGTTTTGGTGCACAGATGTGAAGAGCATGGAAATGTTGGTGGAGCACCAAGCCCATGATATCCTGACATAGAGGATCTTGCACTGGCCAAGGGAGTATCTTGTACTGTTGCTGAAGCTGACAGTGCCCTGACCACTGACTCTGTACTGAATTCTATTAAAAGGGGGGCTAGGGGAGGAAGGGACGAAGTACTTTTCTGATGCTTGTACAGAGGACTAAGTGGCCTTTGCTGTATAACCCTTTGGTGCTTGGAGCCGGGAATTCCCTCCTACGCGCTAGCATTTGATTAGCACTGTCTATGGGAGCTCCCATCCTGCTGATGCCAAAGGGGGGATAAGGACTCTATATGGTGGATTATAATCGGTCTTGGTGTGAGGCTGTTGCAGTGGAGGATACTAGGGGACTATGTGCTAAAGCAGTGGAGTTCACTAGCTCAACATTGGGATGGCAGCAGAACTTCCATTTTGCAGTTGGTGTGCAAGAAGGAAGGGTCACCATCAACGGCTGCCAGGCATTCCTGATGGATGTGTAGGAGAGCATAACCTCCTCCCCGGAGCCTTTCTCTTTGCCAGCCCAAAAGCAGCATCGCTGAGAACACCTGTTTCCCCTAGCCTCCCCCTCTTGCAGTAGAGGAAGCTGCTCAATCCCATCAATGAGTTTTCCAAGAATAAAATCATAAATTTAGTGGATTTGTTTTTATATTCTCCTTGGGTTTGCTCTTGTCTTTTATGAACATTTTATCCTGAAGTGTGATCCAGTAAAATAACTGCTGGAATAAACTTCTCTGCCTTCCCTCTTGTGCAGTTCTGTTGGTGTGCTTTTATACCAAGTCTTCAATTGAGCAGCAGTCCTGTTTTAAGAAGTCCAAAACTAGTATTAATGTATTTTGCCCTTCAGCAGTGCAAAGACACTGTTTGCTGATCACATCAGATCTTGGTGCTCCTTGCAGTCTCTTCTTCCAGCAAAATAGGATGCATCTGGACTTGATAAGGAAAGGGAGCATGTACTTCGGTGTTCAGATCGGTTTTAAAATAAATCTATCTTCTACATGCTAAAGTTCTAATGTTTTTAAAGGTGGGATTGGTAGTGGGAGACCAGGGTTCATCTGAATAAGGCTTTATGATCAAATAGACATAACTTCTCTAGTTTCACCACAGTTGGGATACTCACCCATACTCAACAGGGTATGGGGGAGTATGGTTTGCCCATGTGCGAGCTAGTAAACTAACCCTGTGTTCATGGGAGTGATAGTTGTTCTTAGAAGCAATTTTTCAAAGTGAACTTTTGAACGTGTGGAAATGAAGAGGAGTGTATCGCTGAACACTTCAGATATCCTCCTGATGTAGCATCATATGAGCCATTCTGATGGAGCAGAATGATTGCTTTTTTAAACAGGCTGTTAACAAAACAAAAAATGGCCCAAGTAAGGTCAAGGTAAAAGTTTCCCCTTGACATTAAGTCCAGTTATGTCTGACTCTAGGGACAAGCTGTTAACCAAGATGATGATGATGATAATGCTCCAAGTACAAACAAGCAATTGGAATTTGCCATAGCTGCTGATTTGGCAAGAGGGAAGGCCTAGGAAATGGACTTCATGAGGTAGTTTAACAATCAAGTATGAATGCCTGTTAGTCCACTGCTGTGTTCTGCCTGTAGGAAGGTGTTTCAAGCAGCATCCTGATAGCAGCATCACAGCTTTGCTTCATTATGACGTTGCCCAGAAATTAAGAAAGATGAGAAACAGACAACCACTTCCCTCAATAAATTTCCTTTGTGCGGTTGGCTGCCTGTGATTTGGAAGCAGTTTTTTCACTGCTACATGACTGCATCTCACTTCCACTGATTCTAGTGAATGATGCATTGTATATTTATGCTCATAAGTGTTTTGTGTTTTACAGCCGTGTCATTATGAAGTAGGCAGTACATATTTCCATAACAGGCATATGGAGAGACACAAAGCCCTTAGCCCATTGCCTTAATCTAGAACAGGGTAGGTAACGTGGTGCTCTCAGGCATGGATGCGTCTCCTGACATTTTCCTTGAAACCCACCAGAGTATGATACTTTTCCCAGTGTTCCACAATTCATTTTTGTACTGGCAGCTGCAATTGCTGCAGAATAGATTTCTGTTGCTGTTGAAAACTGGGTTCAAAGGGGATTACTATAGGGGCTCAGACGCCACCTCTGCCTTGTGCTCAGCATTTTGGACAGGTTATTTGTCCTTTGCCACACCTCCCATGACACCAATTTTGTGATGGTGCCCAAAACAGTTTCTCAAATTGCCATACATGCCAATGATCCAAAAAGTTTGCCTGACCCTTATCTGGAGATTATTGTTAATATTATAAACATGCGTTTAAAAAGGAATTTTCTACTTAAGGCTGCAAAGATGTCTCGATACCTTCTATGATGAGCCAACATTGCTTCCATATTGTAGATAGGGGAAATGACAGTTGACAGTGAATACCTTGCCTATGGACATCAGCGAGTTTATGGCAGAAGTGAGATTGGGACCATTTCTGTGACAGCAAAACCCACTGAATTTTTAGATGATGATGATCATGGACCCAGCTAGAAGATTGGAAAATTGCTCTGACCTTTTAGTTGGGTCTCAGCACTCAGGCTGACTTCCTCCCTGCTTGCAGCTGGCACAGAAAGAACCACACCAGCTGCATCTGTGAAGCTTGGGAATGGTGTTTCGAGGGTGGGTTGGGGAGAGAAGACAGACAAGATATGCTGTACCATAGTTCTTCAGCATCCCTCCCTCCCTCCAAACTTCTTCAGCTAGATGGCCACAATTCACTGTCTAGTGAGGTGCAGGGCAGGAGGAGTACAGAAGCAAAGGTCTCCCCTATAATTCTATCCTCTGTAAGAGGTACATGTTTGGAGTGCTTACAGGCATCCTGATTGGATTTCTCCCTCAGCCACTCCCATACACTAGCTGGAGTCATTTTGCCTGTGTTTTGACACAGGTATTAGCCTTGGTAATATAAAATCTTGCACAGTGCTGACTAGCTGCCCCTAATGCTGTTCATGCTAGTGGAGCCTTTCATGACTGATGTTGCACTACTTGCTTGGAAATACTTCTGTACTGCCTTTCAGCCTGCAATTTCTATGACCATTTTCAGGAACAGCCCAAATTTTTAAAAGGATCCTGGCTGCAGAGATTTGCATTCTTCACACTTCTTCCAGGACTATAGTAGATCTGATTTAGGTGTCACAACAGGCACATTTAAGGACTTTCTGCATCACATTTCTAAACTACAAATTAGCCATATGCCGCCAGCTAACATTTTCAAACAGGCATTTCCTAGAAAGCCATTTTGTTCTCTGAGGACTTAGTTTTGTAAATTGCATATACATTTCTTCAATATAAGCCATTTGTAAATATAAATAACAAAGGCAAGAAGGAACTTTGAGGAAGGCTAAGTATATTCTTAATTTCTAGCTTGCAGTCTATATTCAGCCCAACCAGCTGCCCCAACAACCTGCAGAGGCATCAGGTAAGGTTGCACCCTGTATGGACAAATAGAGGGCAGGAGAACAACTGAACAGCTGCGTTCACTTAACGTGACTCTTCCCTTACTTTCCCCGATCAAGGAACGCAAGAAAGGAGCAAAGCCAGGTTGAGACTCGGCACAGTGCCTTGAGGAACTTGAGCATGAGGCACTTGGCCAGCTACTCTGAGACAGTCCACACTGAGGGATGACAGCATGTGACTTGAGGCATGGATAGTATCTGGGGTGTGCATGGAGGTGACAAGTGTGACGAGCACGGGAGCAGCCTGGAACAGTGTGTCAGTGCAGGCCAGTGTTAGTGCCAAAGATGGTGCCTGCTTGTGGAAGTCAGTGAAAGGATGGGAGAAAGCATGCATGAGTTCATCAGCTTCAACTGTAAGGGTGCAGATGACTTCTTAGTACTTCCCATCCTTCTGCTTTCCCAGAAAGTCTAAATTCGTCTAAATTTTGTAGCTGCAGTACAAATCGCCATTATAATTTTTCTCATTTTTTTTTACGGTTAGCATGAAGCAGGCATTAAGCAGTCCAGCATGTTCCCATCCTCTTCCCTGCTAGTGCAAAATGCATGATGGGGTCCTTCTAAAGAGTTATCCCCACCCCATCCTGTTCCAGTCTATTCCTTCTAAAGAGTTATCCCCACCCCATCCTGTTCCAGTCTATTAACTGTCGGGTTCCACATTTGGTATTATTTCATGTCTTCTTTGGGGACAGTGGGAGAGGAGGAGACTGCTATTTTATATGTGCAGCAACCCTACATCTTCTAATATTTAGTTTTATTTAGCCCTGGGAATATTATTTAAGAGAACGCAGGATAAATTGGCAAGGCCTCTCCCATAAAGTACTTCACTTGTAATAAGCCCGCTGGGAAACCCATTTTCCATTTCTGTTATTAGCAGTACACAATGGCTCTGAATAAAAATCCGTTTTAGCTGTAATGATTTAAAATTTATTAATTATAATAACCATCATGGATAACTCTCCATCAGCGAGAGCAGAAGTTTCTTTTTGACATTCTCTTCTTTGTGACTGCATTCATAGTGGATTTCTCCTACTTTTCAGTCACTGGGTCGTCTCTTGTAATCTTCCAGGTGGCTCATAATCCAATAAGATGGGATCAAGATGGCTGCATGTATCACAAGTAGTGCAATAGTTTTATCCTGTAAAGGGAAGAAAGTGAAGTGAATGCTGTGTTTAATATTCCAGATGTAGGAATTTGCTCTGGGCTAAAGGTCCTTTGTCATAATGTAGTTCATGCCAGAAAAAAGTGAGTTGTGTATAAAATTGTAAGTTATGTGTAATTTGCTTTTTCCTACAAGGTGGAAAACTTCACATACAGTATTCATCCTTATTTGAAAGGACTCTCAGTTGTCTCACTAGTACAACTGCCAAGGGACACAGCACTCTGCAGCTCAGGGAAACGGCTCCTCTGAGGGGCGGCTTCTTTACCATATTCTCTTCTGTGAAAGACCCTGGAACCTGGCTCCTAGTGCTAACCAAGAGGGGCTAAAAGGGATTGCCATATGCACACATACAAATAATACACTGTACTTTGCTGTGAATTTGAACTGGGAGTTTGGTGGGTGCTGTCATAAACTGAGAATTCAAAATCTGAGCCTGAGGAATCTGTTGGATCTTATAAGGCCTACTTCAGTTCTGAGGAGGACTTCAAAAAGCACCTGCAATTCATGCCTGCATTTGTTTCTGGACAACTTTGTCAGGCACTGTAATCACTATGTTTGTATGGCATGATTTGACTTAGATTGACCAGTTCATACTATGTATTCTATGAAGTATCATGTACTCTATCAGTTCATACCATGTACTCTATGTGCTGTGCTTCTTAGTCTTGGTGGTCACTTTATTTTCTACTGTACACAACCTGCATCATTTAGCATTAATCGCTTCTAGTCTTTAGAACCTCGTTGCTTGGTAGAAGCAAATGTAGGATTGAACCCAGAAACATATTGCCAGATAGTGATTTTTGGCACAGCAAACCCCTAAGTAACTTACAGGTCTGCAGTTAATCCATTTGCAAGGACATGGTGGCAACAATCTAACCTTCAAGTGTCTTTGCACTACAAACAGTATCAGTCTACCTGACCCAGCCAACTGTAAATCATTTGCGCAAGTTGTAATGTGGACAATCTAGTTGTGCCCCATTCATTCAGTGGGGGGAAAATGTTCAGTTTTTTTGGCCAATCTAACTTGGCCACAAAAAGCAAATATTGAGCATCATCTTTAAAAACATATTTACATATATAAATTTATGCATATAAAACTGCATGCTTTATTCTGAAACTGATACAGTTGTAACAACTGAGGAACTAATACAAGGAGTTTTAAGTTGTAGTAGTGAAATGTGGTTTCTTAATAATAAGCTGCCAGCTTGTATAATGAAGATAAGGGAACATGCCTATAGGCCATAAAAAGTATCAACTGGTTGCAGGTACACTTCTATGTTCATTAATGAAGCACTCTGCTACTGTTACCAATGGGTACTTAAATGTATGTGTGTAATCACAAAATTTAAGTGTGAATACACCTTGTATTGCAAGGAGCTCAGAGTGAGGGAGCAGGGTTACCAATGGGTCTTATGCCTAGATACTGGCAAAGTAGATTTACTTAGGTATAAGGATAAGAAGTGATTATGTTAGTTGTAATATTAAAAATTAGAAATGGGTATTAGTTCTCTGTTCAGTTTTGGAATGCATACAACATTCCATTAGATTAGTATTTTTGGTATAACACTCAGCCAGATTCAAAATTCAAAGATTTTTACACACAAAGGTGAATTGGTTTGTGTTTGTTTTTTAGGGCAACTTGAGAAGGTGAGTGACATTTTCCATGAAAATGCTGAAATGAGGTACTTAAACTCTTGATTTCTGTGTTTACTACACTCAACCAATGAATATCTACACAAATCTTACTGATATTATAGTTGTGCAAATTTGTATGATTGTGTGCTACAGTAGTCTTTCATGCCAATGCAAACAGTTTGGCTTATGCTTTTGATTTGCACCTAAATGCAGCATAAATGTGCCCTAAACCATGTTTCCTGGTACATGTATCAGATCCTGAGAACAAGGATTGTGCAGGCATAATGCTCAAGTTCCTAACAGCTATCTGGACTGAGGAATTACAATGGGCATTGAATTGTTTTTTCATAATGGTTATTTTCAGCAGGAGAAAAATGTGCCTCTGTGTATTAATAGTATGGTTAGCATCACTACAATTAATGAGAGCATACAGCACAGATTCTGCATGGTTCTCAAAACCTCTGCAGGCATTAGACTCTGGGCTAGGTCCCTGGATGCAAGTCCTGAAATGATAATTCAGTCACTTTTACAACAAATAACCTAAGAATGCCTCCAAATCAAGGTATTTTAGTTTGTGGGTACTAATTTTTCCTGCAATAGGAAATATTGCCCATGGAGAGCAATGTAAAACACACCTTTAAGCAGCCATGGGCAAATGGCTCAGGGTGCTCAGATCTATTTGCAAGTTGTTTACAGTGTTTGCACGTTATCAGTGCTTTGCTGTGGGAAATGTGGAAAGTAGTAAACATGTTTGCTGCTTGTACATGTTTGTTTTTGATACATGTTGTGAAGTCATCTGACTTATGGCAACCCTGTGAATTAATACTCCCCAAAATGCCCTGTCCATGACAGCCCTGCTCAAGGCTGTAGCTGCCTTTATGGAACTGATCCACCTTATAACTAGTCTCTTCCTCCTCCTGCCTTTGACTTTCTCAAGCATCATTGCCTTCTCATGATGTACCCAATAGTACAACAAACACATGTTTATTCCATAGTTCAGTAATAATTTACAGCCAGGCTCCAAGTATGCCTGGCAGTAGGGCTGAGAACTAGGCTGCTGCTATTACACATTGGATCTGAACAAACAAACATCAGAAAATTATTTTGAGATTTGGCTCAACCCACTGTTCCTCTTGATTTCATTCACTGCACTGTGAAAGAGTATTTTATATAATGGGAGGATGTTAAACCTTCAGTTTTAAAAGTATGGGGGAGGCTCTTTTAGAGTGAGTTCAGCATTCTAGGCCAGGGGAAGCCAAAGTGATGCCATAGGCACCACTTTCCTTTCTTAAAAATAAAGGATTCTTTTTTCTTTTAAAAGCCACAAAAGCAGAACTTGTAATTTATCAGATCCTGCAAAATTGGTTTCTGTTGCTGCTGAATGTGACTTTGAAGGAATTGAGACTCTGTCTTTTGCTCAGGTTACCTGTCCATTGCTTTTATCCTATCCCATTAGCTGTAAGGCTCCTTGGGTAGGTTATAATTTAAAAGTATGCAATAAAATAACAATATACAATAAAATGTACAAATGTAAAAATAGAAAAAAATTAACAATCTAGCAAAAACACACCATTATAAAACTCCACAGAAACAGATCAGCATAAAATGCACAACAGTGATTTACAACAAAGTATAAAATATTAAAATCATTCTAACAGTTAAAATACCAGGAAAATAAACAGATCTTCGACTGGCACTGAAAATACACAGCACCACACAAACCTCTCCATGGAGGCCCACTGTCTCACCTCCCACTGCAGCCATTTTCTGGGGTTGTCCAGGGCAGTTTCTCAAATTGCCAAATGTGCCCAAAGCTTGAAAGGCTTTGTCTACCCTTATTCTAGGCAGTTATGAATCAGTTGTCTCTCTTGAACAAAAGGCAAGCCTACAGATAAGCTTAAACATGCTTTTTTAAACAGACACTATTTAAACATGCAAGTAGGGCCTGAAATGAATCTTCCTTGGCAGGATTTGTCTCTGAACCCCTGCCCTGTCTTCCCGTCAAAAATTGCCTCTGTAAAGCTTACTTCCCCCTGAAGTGCTAGTCCTGCAAAAGCAACTGAGGGATTTTCAGTGGGAAAAAGGCAATTGCAATTAACTCCAGCCCCTCAATTTGTGAGCAGAATCCGGCTTCAGAAGGTGTTTTTTTTACAGAGGAAGAACTGCTCGGCTCTGTTAGAGTCACCCTGCGTGAATTTTCATGGGTGAAATTGTTAGCAGGATCAAGAGGGAATTAATGATAATGAGGCATTCATTTTGTTTCATTGGGTTCAATAACAGATCACAAGTTTTTTGATAACCATTGTGTCTACTTCTTCTATGAAATTTAAGGTAAATTTATATCGGGTCCTCTGGCAGGCCATATGAGAAGTACTTTCTCTTAGCTAGGGTATGATTGCAAGGTTGGGAGTACCTCCCTTTATATTCGTCCTCTGTTATGGTTTCACTTCTAACCCATTTTAATCGGCCTGGAAACACATTAAAGGGCCTGGTTTTCTTTGATCCTCAAAATCTGAAACCAAAATAAAAAAGACGAAAACAGGTAACTTCCTACTCTGCCTCATAATGCAGGTTATCTCTAGCAAAGCCAAAAACATGGCTTTAGGATTATAACGTTTGACACTCAGTTTAGGTGATTCTATTTCTCCTGTTCTTCTGAAACCTGAATGTGAATTCTAATTATGTAAAAAATCCACTGCATTCTATTTCAATCATTCCATTAATTTTAATTACATTTCCTATACTTTCCAACAGTCAAATCTCTCTGCAGAGCCTTGGCTACTGGCGGTATAAAAATGGTATGAAAAAGCTTAACTATATTATTTTGTTACTTTAAAATATAAAATTATATAAATATAAAATATAAGGACTATGCACAAACATTTCAGAGACGCACATACACAATTATAACGTTAAGCTTATAAAGCACTGCGCTACCTTCCTGTTGATGGGGGGGGGGTCAAAATACTTACAGTGGCTGTTAGGATTTCTTGAGGTGGTTTGGAGAGTACATTCGCTCTAGGAACGATCTGAGTCCGCACTGTCGCGTTCAGGAACCTGAATGCCTTCTGAAAGCCCCGCATCTTGTCCAGGAGATTTGTTTGTCGACCCCCGAAGGTCCTGCCGCAAATGCGTGTAGGCCCGGCCGCAGCAGCGTTAACGACTCCGCCTCCGCGAATGGCAGCTGGAGCGCTGCAGAAGGTCGAAGCGAGGCGCTCTTCCCGTGGCTCAGTTCCCGCGAGACGGACTTAGCGCCGCCCGCCGCCCGCGGCCTTTCCTGTCTCCTTCGCCCGGACCGTGCAGCGCTCAAGGTTAAAAGGAGGGCGGGGCGGCGCGTCGGCCTCGGAGCCTGCGTGAAGAGAGCGCTCGCCCGCGCCGGCTGTTGCTAAAGGCCCCTGCGCAGCGAGGCGGGGAGCGGGAAGGAAGATTCCCCGCGTGTCGGGACCAGTGAAGGTTGGACTGTTCGGGCTGCGATGGCGCCAAAAGAAAGCACCAGGCCGACGCTGAAGTATAATCACGCCAGTGGAGACCAGCCATTAATTTTATTCAAAGAACATTCCCCCCGCATCCCAAGATAGTAGCAGGGTGATTATGGTGATGGGGATGTCGACCTTCCCCGCATTATTTTTCCTACTTTCTGCATAGTTCCCAGAACTGGTCGTTATTTTTTCAATAGACCTCTGCCGTTTCTAATTCCCACAGCACAGGCAGGGGCATCTGCAGGGATTTTCCCAAGGTATTTGCCCAGCGATTTGTACTTGTAATTCATGTGCATGGTTGCGTTGCTACTTTTCACCCTTTTCTTTGCATTGCATTTCATGACATTTGGAAGCCTACACAAAGTAGAAGATCCTGGGAACTGAACAACAGTAATGCAGAATGTTAGGTATTCCAGATACATCATGAACTCCAGCAAAACTTACTTTGGAATGAGGAATAAAACAACAGAATACAGAGAGAGAGAAGGGGGGGGACAAATCCACAAGCACAGACGTGCCTTGTGCCATCGTTGCCTTTGTCTCGATAACTTGCCCTGGAACGATTTCCTTCATCTTGAAAAAAATGGTGAATAAAATCTATAGCATCCTTCTCCAACTTGGTATCCTCCAGATATTTTAGACTGCCAATTCCCAGCATTCTGACTCTGGCCATGGTGGCTATTACTCTCTGGAGCTGATGCCCAAAATACTTGAAAGTTGTATGGGAGTCTTTCAGGAATGGCTGTATAGAATGGGTACTTATTTCCATATGTGGTGGGAATGTGAAAATACTGTGAAATTTTGGAGAGTGGTTTTCAAGAAAAATAATAAATTATTAAATTTAAATATTGAAGCAGACCCTGGAATTGCATTATTCCATTATTTCATGAAAGGAAATGGAATATTTAAAATTAATAAGAAATGTATTAACAGCTGTAAGATTAATATCAGCAAAGAATTGGAAGAGAGTAGGAGGCACTATTCCACTCTTATCTGGCTGTGTCCAGAGGGTGGTGCTGGGGGACAGCGGCTCTGCCACATGGCCTTTGTGCCATGGGGTTCTGCAGGAATCTGCGCTGTCTCCGCTGCTTTCCAACATATACATGAAACTGCTGGGAGAGGTCATCAGGAGATTTGTGCTGAGGTGTCAGCAATATGCTGACAATACTCAGCTCTACCTCTCATTTCATCTAATCCAGGTGAGGCTATCTCTGTCCTAAACCAATGCCTGGACTCGATAATGGTCTGGATGAGGGCCAAGAAACTGAAAATTCAGACAAACCAGAGGTGCTATTAGTAGGGGATCTGTCCGACAGGATGGAGGGGCATGCCCTGTCCCTGATGGAGTCTCACTCCGCCTCAGGGACAGGGTTCATAGTTTGGGGGTGTTCCTGGACCCAGGTCTGTCCTTGGAAGCACATGTGGATTCAGAGTCCAGGGATGCCTTCTTACAGCTATATCAAATTTACTATGTCCCTACTTGGATGGACAGAGCCTGAAAACAGTCAACCATGCCCTGGTGACATCCAGGATAGATTACTGCAACATGTGCTATGTGGGGCTGCCCTTGAAGACAGTCTGGAAATTGCAACTGGTACAAAATTGAACAGCAAGGATGTTAACGAGTGCACTTTTTAGGGTGCATATCACTCCATTGCTGAAGAATTGCACTGGCTACCAGTTGCTGCCCGGGCCCAATTCAAGGTGTTTGTTATGACATATAAAGTCCTAAATGACTTAGAGCCCAGCTACCTGACAGACAATCTCCTCTCATATGAACCTGCCCATCTCTTAAGATCAGGTCAGGAGGCCCTTCTGCAACTGCCATCCCCCAAAGAGGTGAGAGGGATAGCAAATAGAAGAAAGGCCTTCTCAGTGGCTGCTCCCTGCCTTTCGTATAGTCTCCCTAGGGATGTACACCTGGCACCGTCTCTATTATTGTTTTGGTGCCAGGCAAAAATGTTCCTTTTTAGTAACTTTTAAAATAATTGATCCTGCCTTCCCATTCACTTGTCTGTTATGTTGTTGTTATTATGTTTTAAATTTTGATTATGACATATTTTATTGTTTGTTTATTGTTGTATGTATTTATACTTTTTATTGTAAGCCACCTTGAGACCTTTGGGTAGTAAGTGACATATAAATGGAAATATAAATAAAATAAATAAAAATTGTGATTTCCAATTAAGTGAATGGTGTAAGGGAATTTGGAACATAGTGATTAATGACAAGTTAACATGTAGTAGTAAGGTAAAAAAAAAGAATTGACAAATAATTATAATTTTAATGACATTTGGGGGATGTTCATTGAGTATGTATTAATAAAAGGGAAGGGTATTAAAGCTTTGTATGATTTGATGCAATTTTGGATGGGGAAGGGGTCTTCCTGAGGGGAAAAGCAGAAGAAAAAAGGAGAAGAGGGGTGTATGTAGGTATGAATAAATTACTATGTAGTCAAAGGTCCCTGTGTGAGGATGGACCTTTTGTGCTCCGTTTTAAATACATTATTGTTTGGATTGATTTATTGTTTGGATTGATTTAGCCTGCGTGTGTGAATTTGATGGTGGGGGGAGCAGCTAAGTGAGAAGGTATACCTCCCCCCCTCCACCCCGGTGAGTGGTGACCTCAGTCTGGACTGGGGCCCTTTGGTTAATCTAGAGTAAAAGGAAACATTAGGATCACCTAGATGTTATGCATTTAATGTAGTGGCTGGTTCTGAACCCAGAGATGTCTCATCTATTGAGGCCTAATTTTCATGTCTGTGTATTTGTAAGAATAATGGTGCCCCTTCCCAGTAGACCAGTTGATGCCATTAGCATAAGAGGTGTGCTCCCCTTTCAGGTACATGCCATTCAGGTTGGAAGAATGACAAGCACCGTACCACCAGCCTCCCTTGTAAGATACAGCACAGTTTCCTGTTTCATAGATATCATTGTCTTTGTCTCGTGTGGTGAAAGCCATGTTGTTGTGTCCTGAGAAGGAATCACCTGCAAAGAAAAGAGAGCACGGACTGGTTAAATTTGCTCCAATCCTTGCTGCAACATTAGCTTAAGGTGTAAAATGCAAGGGGTAGGCGGGAGGTCGAATGCAAGGAGCAATGCACCTGCTTTGTATGCCGACATCCATAGTTTTAATACCTGGAATGTCCATGTAGGAATGAGAGAGACTCCTATTCACTGGGTGTAGTGAAGCATGAGCTTCTACAGCACCAGCAATTTGGGGGGTTAAGAAGGACACTGGAATCACCTGCCACCCCTCTCAGTTTTACCTCTAAGTTTTGCTGTAACCTTCAGAGCAGCTGAGGGTGAGGAATGGACTTTTCCCACAACAGTGCATTGTTCCTTCTTGTAAGTGAAATATTTGAGGTAAACTCACTACCTTTACAAAAGTTTTCATCTCCAGGTGGAAAATAAAACTGCTAGAACTGTTGTATTAATATGCATTCACACAGCTGCCTGAATGTTGGAACTCTTCTTGGGGCTGTAGCTACAGGGACTCTGTGTCCACACTTCAGCATTTATCACTACATCGTTGCTCTTGTCCGGAGTTCCAGACAGCCACTACCAACTGATGTAGACAAAGTGGAGCTGGATGAACCAATGTCTGTCTCAGTGTATCACCATCATTATTTAGAACATTGTATACAGATCTGATCATGTTGTATTAAAAAAAGAATTATTGTAGAAATACAAAAGATGCAAAAAGAACATCAGATATCATCAAGAGTAAGAATACCTTACTCATAAGGAAAGCTGAAAGTGTTTGGAGTTTTTAGAGAAAAAAAGATGACTCCAAAGTGATATAAATGTAAACAATTATAAAAGCTGAGACGTGTAGAGGACATTTATTTATAAAACTATTTCTACCCCACATTTTCCACTAAGAGTCCTCAATGTAGTTTATAGATCTTCTCAAAACATAATGAAGCAAGAACACAATCACCCAAGCAGTATTTCATAGCACAGGAATTTAAGCATCACACAAAAAAACTGATTTGTGATTCAGGAGTACCAAAAATAAGAATTTCTTCACACCAAACATAATTAATGTACAGAATTCAGTAGGAAAGATGTAGTAGCCATAACTTTGGGCATGGGGTCATAATTTTGGGGATGGGATTGCATTTAGGCAAATTTGCGGAAGAGAAATGTATCAATTGCTACTAGACTATATGCCGCTGAACCAAAATTAGGTCCCTCCGTTCATACCGTTATCCATGGTAACTACATGGAACCTCCATGTTGAAAAGCAGGTGACCCCTGATTCTTAAACGTTGAGGACAAAGAATAGGAAATGCCCACCACTCACATATCCTTCCAGAGAGTTTCCAGGAATGTGGGAGACTGCTAGAGTACATAGGCAAGTCTTCCCCCACCCCCCCACACACATTGGGGAAGATATTTTGGACTACAGTGCCAATGGTCAGGGATGTCTGCAGCTGTAGTCCAAAAAATCTGGAAGGAAGGCTGAAACAGAAATCCCATCCAAATGTCTTTATATCTTTAGATCCCTTTAAAGTACATGGCCAAGTGAAAGAGCATTATCTGCGCAACTTACCCATGTTGCCATCCATATAGGAGCCTATTTTTAGTTTGTAGTTTTCACTTTCATTCAAGATTTTGAAGCTGGTATATTTAGCAAACGTTTTCGAGTTATTGAAGTCCTCCACATCAATACGCAGCTGCTGTATTCCTGATCCCCAAAAGAATGGAAGATATCAGAGAGTGTTGTTGAGAAGTGGGACCTGTCTAGGAGAAAGGGACTCATTCCAGGGTCACATGGTCACAGTGGGATTATGGGCCATTTAAATCCAAAGACATGAGGAGAAGGAACTGACTGCTGTTCCCTTCAGACTGTTCAATGGTTCGCATGATCACAACATTTTTAAAAAGTGCAGTTTGAATAACTGTTGTCCAGATGTGGCTTGTCATGACTAAACCCAGAAAGCACAACTTGTTGAAGTGCTAAACAATCCTCAAATGGCTCATATCAGCCCTTAGCTTATTTGAAGCTTGTTTAGCCCTCCAATGAAACATACTGTTTGGATTCGGAGAATATGACAAGGTGCGTCCAGGCAGGTATTGTCAAAAGGAGCCTGGCACATGCCAAAGTATAAAGAAAACATAGTGGCTTGATTAAGTCCTGATGATCTCGTGAACTAAATGCTGCATCTTGTTTAAGCATGGTGATTATCACTGACCGGGTTCACATGATCATCAGGGAAAAAGAAGACACCATGGCTTCTTTCTCCCACCCTCCATGTGCCAGCTGAATGCTGCATGATTTCCCTAATTACCCACAATGGGTGAAGGTAACTGTGTTGTCCAAACTCAGGAGATGCACGGGGAGTATTTCTTCTAAACAAGCCCAGAACCCACAGCTTGTTCTTGGATTCCCTACTGGAGAGGAAAAAGAGCCCATGTTCTTTACTCCCAATGATCATGTGAAACTGCCAAGTGTCACAATAACTGTGCAACACTGCACTCACGCACAGTGGGTTGGGCAGGGGCTGGGATATAGGCTTGTTACTGCCTTTGCTGTTGGTCACTCTTATGCATGTATCACTGTATTAGAGAGAGCAACTGTTTGCTCTCAGCCAGTTTAATTTACCTCTTCCCTTTAGTTAAATTAATGTTATCGCCCATTCATGAATTCAGTTCCTAGATAGGTGACCTTGACCCTTGCACAACTACTCAGCGCATCTACAAACGGTGGGACAACCTCCAGGCTACTAAACAATGCTGTTTTATATCCTACATTTATTTTGTGACACTTAAATGCACTACTTATTTTAATCTAAGTGAAAACAAATAAAACTTCAATCTTATGATCAGCTATGAGAAGGAAAAAGTTTTGGCCTCATTGCTTTATTGTGGTTGTGTTACAAAAGGGAGGTGAGGAGTATATTTAAAGGCAGCAGCTGTAAGGGCCAATGCAATTCTTTGCTGCAGTGTAATTCCTGTAAAATAAAGTATATAGATTCTGATACCCAAGTGAGTTTAAACTACATAAAACTATTTCAACACCTTTCTCCATAAATTTCTTACTAATCCCTATTCACTCCTCAGTTTCCAGGGATGCTCCAGCATCGGGAAGAGGGAGAAACCCTGGCTTACCTGAGCTTGTAAGAAGATGGATTTTATCATTGCCCAGCCAGAACTCTGACACTTGCCTCCCAAACCCTTTCTTGTAGGCCTCCCAGTCACGGTAGAAATCCACTGAACCATCCAGTCGCCTCTGGAAGACCTGGGTGGAGACAGAAGGAGCACAGGGAAAGATGACCTCTCAGAGTCACAGCTAAAAGGCCAGCCGGCTTCCTCCTCTAGACCAGTGCAGGGGGTGTTCTCCCAGTCCAGCTTCATGGGTTCTGAACACGTTCCTCACAATATGAAGAAACATCACAGGCGGTACCTGGGAGAACCAGTGTGACAAAGTGGTTTAGACTATTGTATTAGGATTGAGGGGACTGGACCTCAATTCAGGACCGAGCCATAAAGCTCACTTGGTGACTCTGGGTGAGTCATTCTCTAGCCTACTGCATTTTACAAGGCCCTTGCGATAAATGAGTGGATGGGGAAACAACTTTGTGAGCCACTTTGAGCACCATATATGAAAAGCAGGATTAAAAGGAAATCACTTATATCAGAGTTGTCAGCAGTGAATGCAGGCCAGACCTTCTCTATGAAGCACAATAACTTAAACCAAAAGGAGTTTAAGGGCTAGATTGGCAGATGTTTCCTCCCGCACTGATTTTGGAGTGATATTCTGAACATGTGCCAAATTTGCTTTTGCACCAACTACAGTCCATGCTGTTTTCTTAGCTGGTTCTTGCTGCAGATCTGAGAAATGACTGGCCCCCGCACTTGAACCAGTGACTACCCTCCTGCACTGTTCTGTCAATTCTTCTCCCAAAGAATGCAGCAAACTTGTTTTCCAATTGGGATTCCGAAAGCTCGGCCATAAAGCTGTAATCCCCAGGGCTGGTAAGAGCACGCTTATCATAAAGAGCCATTTGGCTGCCTTTCATAGGTGGTGAGTGGATAGCGCTTCCTCTTCCAGGGAGTAAGCCTCACCAGCCAACCTCCTCCATCAGTCTCCATGTCACAGTAGGCCCTCATTCCTCTTCCTGTGGTGGGGTAGATCATATACCAGCCAGTCAGTGTCTCTCCACGATCCAGGAGTTCCTTGCAATCCTTGGCTCCTGCCTCTAGAATAAATATTAGGAAGGAAAGTATAGGACAGTTCACCTCATTTCTAGGTCAGGAATATAAGTTGTGTGGAGAGGGCAACAGGTCAAAGAACGTGGCTGCCTACCATGCAGAACACTTGATGCCAATGCATATACATTTGTATGCAGCTATTCAGCTATGATCTCTTGCGGATTTCCCATAAAAAGTGAGCAAAGAAAAGATGGCACTTCCAGAGAAAACTTATAGCACGGAAGCAACTTATATGTTTATCAGTTGGTGAATTGTGGCCATTGGTTTGTAACTGCTGTACACCCAGAAATTGCTGAACTGAGGGATGGTTTGCACAGGGTGGACATGGAGGGTCAGTGCCTTCCATAGGTCTGCCCCCAGAGTTGCATAACACGTTTGAAGTAGCTGCTGGAAATATTGGCTATTCTTGCTTGGTGAAGGCTCCCTTCGGGGCTGTGGGCAAATCACTCTTTTTCCATGTAATTAAACAGACCACCCCCTTCGAGAATGGAGAAAATATTTGCATTCTTTTTTCAGATTTAAATTCTTCTATGTTTAGTGGGACTGGCTTTTTAGTACATGTTTCATTGCTGCCTTGGGCCAGTGCTTTCCCAATCGTATGCCAAGAGCACTCAATTTCCAAGGAAGCCTGTCAGAGAAGGCTTAATAAAAAGATTAGTAAAGATGGACATGCTTTCCTGAAAACAGCTTGCTCATCACTGGGGATGCAACACTGATTACAAGAAGATGGATGGGCTTGGATGATACCCTAAGTCCGAAACACACACACACACATACAGTTGAGGAGGCACCTGCTAACACTTTACCATACAGATTCATGGATCTGCTCCTCCTCATCAGGCTGGAACTGTCACCTGTAACTTGCATGTGCTTTTATATATCCATCCTAGCCCTAAGGAACCCTCTTTCATTGCCACCCTTTTCATTGTCTACACACTGGGGACCAGTGACTGCAGCAGGATCTTCTCTACTTGTGGAGGCTTCCCCTGTGATTCAGATCCCTGGGAAATCATGACAGGAGTAATTTGAATGTCCGAATAGGACTTCTACATTAAGTATATAGCTGTTTATATACACCTCTGAAAATCATCATATGGTCAGGAGCCTGAAAGCCAGCTTGGAACCTGTTACTGCTACAGGGCAGTTGCTCCTTGGATAGTCACCATCTCTCTAATATGTTTTATTTGCAGCCTTTTCTGCTACCACCATTACTGGCGTCTCCCTCGATTTGCCCTGGAACTCCTCTACTTTCTGCCAAGGAGTTGTGAAGCCTGTTTCTGAATGTTTCCCACCTCCTGCCCAGCACATGCAGATTCTTTGAACTGGTGGCGACTATCATCTTGGGACTGAGTCTTCATGGCTTGTCGCAGGCCGCTTATGCCCATGAATCAAAAAGGGGCTCACTGGCCTTACCTATACTACACGCTACCACCGGTTTACTACCAGATTAATTGTTCCAGCTTCTTGGGAACTGCCGTTCGGGTGAGGATGCTGAGAATTCAGCTTCTTAGTCCCCAGGAGGTACTTGAAAAGAAGGAATGTCTGTACACCCATTTTAAATTCTATATAGACAAACTCTTTGAAGCTAAAAGTTAAGAGACTAGAGATAGGGGATTGATAAAGGTCAGTAGTATCTAAATCTTTTAAATAAACAAATAATGAAAAGCTGCTGGCTTTTAAAGTTGCATTTTATCCTCACTGCTAGGACAATCAAAGGCATGGAGCACCCTGTTCTTGTGGAGGACATTTCTCCCTGTGGGTGCCTTTTTCACGGTCAGAGTTTGAAGCCATATTGCATTAGATTTAGCCACAGGCTAACCGAACAAACAGGTCTGGCCAGAAAGAAGGGGGTGACTAGACGTACCTTGCTGCTGACAGCTGGCCAAACTGCATGCCTCTCCTGCGGTAAGAGAAAGGAAACTTTTTATGAGCTGAACAAAAACTGAACACAAGCCAAAAGGAAAGAGTGTGAGCAGCTGCAGAAGCACCGCATGTTTTTATGCAAGCTTATTCTCCTTCTCCTCATGTGGGGAAGTAGAGGTTGAGGTCGCACCCACCACCCTCTGGGCCTGTGTTTGCAGAGGGATCAAGCCATGTAAAGCTTAGCATATCTAGATTGCACAGTGCCACTGGGATTGTTCGAGGGGACCGGGTGTCTCCTCTGAGCCAGGCTTTGCGTTCCTCCCTGCACACATGCCCAAAATGGAGTTGTAGGTGCATTACCTTGGTCTCCTTTGTCTCCCTTGGGCCCAGCTTTCCCAGGTATGCCAGTAGAACCTCTCTCACCTGAAGACAAAAGCCCAGTGATCTTTTAGGGAACATTTCCAAGCCATGCAACAACATGTTAGCAAACTACAAGGGGCATCTAGGGAACAGCGCATGGGATTCAAAGAGTGGGATTCATTTCACTTTCAGCTACGGTTTTTAAGCCCTGAGAACCCCATTTATGTCTGTGGGAAGGGGTCACACAGGTGGTGAATGAATGGTGTCGATCCTTCCTTCGCCGAGGAGGAGACACAGCTGGTGCGAGGTGGAACATTTCATGTGATGACCCCCGTCTTTCGAGAAGCCATCAGAGCACCCTGGGATTCAGCCACTGGAGCAGTTCATTTGCTGCCACACGAATTGGCCCTGACAAATGTTCTTCTTGAGCAGAGCTGCCCCTAACACAGTTGGCTCCGAGCAAGCATTCTGGGGGCAGGGAATCGCTTTCATTCTCCCACCATGCTGTTCCTGTCCCTTATAGTCCTCCTCCTAGACATCAGGTTTGCAAATGCAAAGTAAAGCAACTCCTGGATCTGCCAGACCCAAATCTTCAACAGAGATGTGTGACCTCTCACCTGGGGGCCCCTGGGGGCCTAGATCCCCCTTAGCTCCAGGCAGCCCATTTGTTCCTGGCACACCTGGAATTCCTGGTATCCCTGCCTGGCCTTGGAGAAAGATTCTGTCTGCTCCACACTCTGATAAGCCAGTCAGCTCTGAAACAGGAAAAAGAGCACAGACACGAACTTATTCATTAGCCCTGTATGAGGCAAGGCAATTTCCCTTAAGGAAAATCAGGACTATGTGGCCCTCCCATCGATCCTGCCAGCATTATTTTTGCATGGTGGAGGTACGCACAGCATAAAGATGCGACTGCCTTTCTCCCACTAGCATGGCCAGGTGAATGGTGATGGGTGTGCAGGAACAAGCAGCGTAGGCTCAGTCCTGTCAATGGCACACTTGCCGTTCCGGGAGGCTTGCAAGTTTCCTTTGCCTCACTTTGCCTCGAGTGTGCTTTGCTAGGTGGGTTTTTGACCCATTCAGCAAGGGCACCTCAGAGGGTGAGGAGGAGGCTAGAGAAGGCTCAGGGTAATTCTGGCCTCCCTGATCCCCTCCCCTCCCTGTCCACCAGAAAGCCCTCTTTCTTCCCCCTCCAACATCACTTTTCCAAGTTTAGAGACAAGTCAGATCTCCAGCTCCCTCTTCCAAGGTCAGAGTGCTGTCTCCAAATTTGCAAAGGTTCTGCACTGTCCGATAGTCCCTGGTGCACTCACCCAGGGACCACAGGATTGCCCTCCTAGCAAGCAAGCAAGCACTGATGGATTCTCACGGTTTCATATTCATTCCTGTTTTTATTCCACTGGCAAACATCTGGAACTTCTCCACTTTCTTCCCTGCTGTAGCCACTCACACTTAAAAGCAAGCAAACAAGACAACCCAGGCACCAAACAACAGATGAAGAAAGAGGAGGAATGAGGAGGATACCGCAATACAGATGTGCTTATCGCCCTATTCAGGCATGCACTTGCTCCTGTGTAGGGGAACACGGACGTGCATATAAACTTGGCTCCCCACATCCACATAAGCCCAGCTTGCATGTGGACCTTCATGCATTGATCCTGATCAGGGACTGGGCCCACATGATTAAAGACCCTTTTCCAGATCTTCATGCTCAACATGTGAAGATCTAACTGGAAACCAGGGACATGGAAAGCCTGGGGATAGGACTTAGGTGCATGTCCACATCCCAAATTGTGCCCAATTTAGCTCCAGATGTAAGAGGGGTGTGCCTGAATAGGGCCATAATGCAAAGCCAGACACCTGCGCCTCCTACTCTAGTCTGTGTCACGAAATTGCTTGCATCCTGGCTTTGTACAGTTGAGAACATCACAGCTCAGTTTGCCAAGTTATTTCTCTCTCCAGCCTTTAAATCCCCCAAGAACATCCCAACCACACTCTGTCGCCCACTTCCTTCCTTCCTTCCCTCCATATTCCAATTAATCCCATCCTCGTGACTAGCATGGCAGTTCCTGATGTTTCCCTTTAACCTGTAAAGGCCATTAATTGAGGCAACTGCAAGTCCCTTGCCATGTGCCATATCCAGATGCAATCCAAGAAAGGGCCCCTTTGTTTTCAGTATTTGTGTGCAGAAGAAAGAATTTGGGTAGGCAAAGCTTTTCTCACAAACTGCTGCAGCAGGGGGAGAAAAGGAGAATTCTCTGACTGCACAACTGTGAAGGAGCTCTTTCCTACGTGGACTCTGCCTCCCCCCCCCCCCCGCATTCACACTCACGCGGACTGCCGTTGGCTTCAGACCCCTGTCCAAAGCTTCCTCCTTTCATCGAGACAACCACCAGGAGCGACAGAGCCAGGGGAAAGTCAAGCCAGGCTGTCATCTTGCCTTGCAGAGGCTACTTAGCTGTCTCACTAAGCTTGAGCTGTTAGGTCCCTTATATACGGGGTGATTTTGAAGAGTTATCTGACAGAGTGCCAAGGTGTAAACAGATATGGAAATAATCCTCTAACAGTGAAATAAAGACATGCTGTACTTCCTGGCTAAGGGGAGCTTTGTGTGTCTCTTTTGCAATATTTGCTTTTGCAAGAGTTGACTTAGTTAACATTGATGAATGAGTTACATTCCTAGCGTAATGCCTGAACTTCCTGAATTGTGCCACATAGAAACAGAGCAAGTCAGAAGGGACCACCCAGACCATCTAGTCTGTCCCCTGGCTCCAGCCAGCTCTGCTCATGACATGCCCACCATGTGTATGTCCAGCCTATCCTTAAATATCCTCACCAATGGGGCTTCAACCACCTCCCATGGAAGCCCATTCCATACCACAGGGGTCCTAACCATTGGGAAGTATTTCCTGGCATCCACCTTGAATCTTGGATCCATGAGCTTTGCTGCATTAGAACACATCCTGCCCTCCACCACAAGGGAAAAAAGATCATGACCCACCTCTGTGTGACACCCCCTCACATACCTGTATGCTGCTAACAGGGGTCCCCTCTGAATCTCCTCCTCAAGTCTGAAAAGACTCAGTTCCCTCAGTCTCCCCTCATACGGCTTACCCTGCAAACCCGACACCATCCTTGTGGCCCTTTGCTGCACAAATTCGAACCTTGCTATATCCCTCTTGTAATGAGGGGCCCAGAATTGAACACAATACTCCAGTTGTGGATGCACTGGAGTCACACAGTACTGGCAGTACACCTCTCTAAATCTAGAAGCCATGCTTCTGGCTATGCATCCTAGGGTGGCATTCACCCTCTTGACCACCACGTCACACTGCTGGCTCATGCTTAGCCTGCAGTCGACCAGCACACTGAGATCCTTTTTACAAGGGCTGCTTTCCAGTCACTTGTCCCCTAACCTGTACTTATGACACCCATTCCCATGCCCCAAGTGCAAGACCTTGCACTTATCTGCATTGAATGCTATCCTTTTGTCCCTGGCCCTCTTCCAAACTATGTCCAGATCCTTTTGGATCTGGGGTACCTGTTTCTCAGTTGTGGCCACCGCCCTCATTTTAGTATGATTTGCAAATTTGATCAGACTGGTCAACCCCTTCTTCAAGACTGAACAGGATGGCTCCCAGGACAGAGCCCTGGGGAACCCTGCTCGTCACCAACCGCCATCCCAATTATTCCCCACTAATAGTTACCCTCTGCTTTTCGTCCGTCAGCCATGCCATAATCCATAGGACAGTGCATCCGTCTATCCCAAAACTCCTCAATTTCTCAACCAGGATACCATGGGGCACTTTGTCAAAGGTCTTGCTGAAATCCAGGTAAACCACATCCACCACATCCCCTCCATCTAGCCATCTCGAAACCTTGTCATAGAATTCCACAAGGTTTGTCGGGCAGGACCTGTGTTGTGCGGCTGCCAGCCTCCCTTCTCTATCTAGGGATTCCAGAGCATTTCCTATTAGGATCCTTTCCACTGTCTTTCCCTGAATGCAACCTTCCCCTAGCAGCAGCTGTTTCTTCATACCGAAGAATGTGCATTGTGGAGATGCGCTATTTGCTGCTTTGCTGAGTAGACAGATGAGATGTTGGTGCTCCAGGGGAGAGCTACACCCAGCCCTACTTTGTTCAGGTTACATCTCTGTGCAACTAAAGCCAAGGAGGACACACGGCAACAACAGTCATGGGATATCCACTGTTTTCATCCCATTTTCCTGCTTGATATACATCCTCAAGTGTTATTAGTGGGTCTTGTTCATTTGCTAGTATGTGCCTTTTCCTATTGAAATGCTATGCTTTGCCCAATCATACATACTTTCAGCTGATTTTAATCTTTTTTCTCCCTAAAATTGCCTTACGCAGTTGCAAATGAATGCCATCAGTAGGGCCTAGTTTGTTTTGATTTATGTGGGTGCTACATGCATCATTTGACATGTTTTCTTACATCCCAGTCTTAGCTGTTGTTGCCAGTTTGTCCATTCCTGCTCTTCAGGCCTATCTATACTTTGATACAAGGAGGTTCCACTTACGTGCCATACAACATTTTTGGTTGAGGCCGATTGCTTAACTTCATCATGGGAGAAAAAATGGCATGGGATCTGCTCTGCAAGTCAGGCCTGGTAGGAGAATTTCATGCTGGAGGTGTAGGATGAGGGGAGGTGGACTGAACATTTCCTCATGACCCAAATAGTCTCTTCAAAGTAGTCAAAGATGTAAGACCTGCTCTCTAGAGAAAACAGAGTGTTTGCCTGTCGGTGTAAACAAAGATAAACATGAAAGCAGCTTGCACTAAAATAGATGTAGATATTCAACATAAGATACACCGTTCTCAACCCAAATTAGATATTACAAGCAGCCACAGTATTGGCACAGTATTTGGTGTCTGCACCAACATGATTAGCTTTGGGTAAGCCTAATGGTTGCTGCAGTCACGATTCCTATAGCAATACTCTCCGTCATGGTAATTTGGTCAAAACCTGTGATCCATGCTGGTTATGAGTGCAAAGAAACAAACAGGACTGAGATGCTTTCAGGCTCAGGAAAGTGTGGAAGGCAGCTTTTGCAACGAACCTGCCCTTAAATCATTGGATTGTGGCAAATGCACTCACTGGCTGTATGTGTTGTGTCTGAGGACTCATTGGTCACATCATGACAGAGCAGGGTGCAAGGCGGTGGAGGGAGAGGCAGATGCTGCCAAGGAGCAGGAGGAAGAACTGGAAGAGGAGCAATGTTTCAAGACTGTTCCCGATGCTTCCCATGAGTAGAACTGTCCTGAATGAGCAGCAGATGAAGGTGAGACACTGCTGATGTTAAGCTCCATGAGCCCATTTTCCTTGCCCCGTGGATTCTCTGCTTCATTGTATTCAATCCCAGTGTCTCAAGAAACTCTCCCTGCCGCTGCCACCAGTGGGTTTTTAGCATAGACAGGTGTTTGTGGTACACTGATACATCAGTGCTCCTAGTCATCTAATTGCCTTGCAAGCACAAAGAATGTAAAGAAATTACTTGTGTATTTTACTTCTTGTGACTGTTGCACTTGTAGAACAGAGCAGTCTGTTATAGCACAGAGTAAGGCACATGATAGTTATTTCTTCCTGCAGAACCTTCTTATGAAGCCTGGTCAGCGTCTGCTGTGCTTCAAGGAGCATCACAGCAGGTGGAGGTGTAGCCCCCACTGCTCTGTGGTGGTGAACCTCCTTTCAGGATGGAATTCAGCACTACAGCACTCCAATAAAAGCTCAAAATAGAAACTCCAATAGATGAGGAGACCAGGAAGAATTTCCTCAGTCAGAGCAGTATGGCAATGGAACCTATTACCTGGGGAAGTGGTGGGCTCTCGCTTGCTGGAGATATTCACAAAGTGTCTGGACAGTCATTTGAATGGGAGGATGGAACTCAGTGTCCCGCAATAGCAGGGAGTTGGACCTGATGGCCTTCTGGCCCCTTACAACTCTACTATTCTGTGATCCTATGATTCTATGAAACCAGAGGTTTGTGCAACAGAATTGAAGATGTAGTCAGTTTATTAGAAAAATCAATGTAACTATGACAGGATATGTTCATATCAATGAAAGGCATATGTTAAAGCTTAGTATTACTACAGGTTACCATAAGTTCCTGGAAATAAATAATTCTGAGCACTGTCAGGCTATACAGTGGCCTATAATTTGAGAATAAAACAAACAACAATGGTTTTCCTGTTGCTTTAAGGAAATGGCTATGTAGAGACTCTAGTTCTACTCCTCTCTGGAAGCATAAGCTAATTTCCCTAGCAAGCTCACCCCACTTAAGTTACAGGCCTGATGTGGAGACTGTATTGCAACCTTCCCTCTGGTTGGCATGTTCTGCTGTCTTGACTTTTCTCAGCAATGATCTGGTCCAGCAACTGCTGCCGCCTCAGGCATACTGCATCCCATGTCCACTCAGGAGTCTATCACTCCCCACTCCCAGACATTCTCCAGCTCCTGCCTTTTGTGGTTTCAGCCCCTGGGTTGGTTCTTCTGTCTTCCTTGGGCTTCTCTTCAGGCTTCTCCCGGCCTCTCCTCAAGTCCTTTGCCACCCCTCTTCACAGTACACTTGACACTGATTGGCCAACTCTCCCCTTGTACCAAGCTACAGACCCTTCTACTAACCCAATAAACATGCACGATCAGACTGGGTTTTCCCAGGATCTTACAGGTATGGAGATAAGGCCGAGGCTAAGTTTTAAAGAAGGTTACAACGAACTTTGTTTCCAACCTCACCTCAGTGAAACTGCTAGCTTTACAAGAAAAAATCTCTTCCACACTTCCACAATACAAATGTGATGGGGGATCCATCCCCAGCGAAGTGAGACACTGTCAAATTTTCCTGTACAGCAGGTGAAGTAGGATGCCACTCAGCCCTGGGACTAACAAGATGGGCAGCTGCCTGGTCTTTGTTAGTGGTATGCAGTGCAATTAATTAGACACTCCCACCCCAGCTATCTAAGCAGACATAGTCACTGATGCACAAGTCCCAGTGGCCAACTGATAGCAGGAAGAGGTGGATCAGGATGAAACATGTCAGGACTGAGCGCCAAGATTCCCACTGTATCACCAACCTCCCCTGTTTCCAGAGGATCAGGTTTTATACTTTTTCCAAGAGGAGAGGAACAGTTTGCTAGGAGACTTTTAGTAGCTTTGTTGAAAGCAGGAAAGGATCACCCACCTGGACTTTAGTTCCTGGGATCTGCTTTTCCTCACTGCATACACCAGTCCCTAGCACCTTCTGAATATCTCTTTTTTTTGGTGTGCCATAAACCTTCTTTAAAACTGCAATTCTGCCACCTTCAGGTTGACTCCGCCCCACCACAGTTCTGTCCATATTTTCTTTTCACCTTTGCAGGTTCCATTCTGATGTCTTCAACATAGCATCTCTCCGCAGTCCATGGTCCTGCAGATAAAGAAAGCCATGAGCATCAACATTCACACACCTTTCCATGCATTTACAACTCAGAACATAAACAGGGCTTCTGTGATCAAATACTTAA